TGCGTTTAATTGCACAGACTTCAGCCTTAATACTGATACTTTATTCTTATCATCCTTTTGGGGGGTGTACTGCATGGCTTTTTTGTGCTGCATGTGTTTGCATTTTGGATTCAGCATGGCATTACCTGTGGGCCTGCAGAGCATTGCAGTTTCAAGGGGCATCCACGATTTTTTGCCACCACTGTAGGTTGAACCTGATGGACCAATGTCTTTATTCAACCTCACCTACTATGTAACTAAATAGATCATATGAACGCCTTTGTTTTTCTTTCCTACCTTCTTTTTTTTTATTCTTATCCGTGTACTTCACAATAATCTACATCTATATTTTATCCTGCTCTGTGGAACTGTTCTCAAAAAGAAATCATGCCAATTAGGAGAAGCAATTATAGATCGAGGTCATTTAAGAACATTTCCATAAGCTTGCCACCATTTGTCTTCTGGCGCCACCTAGGGGCAACGTCGTAATCTGCAGCTACAGGTCAGTGTGCCAAATTACTGCAAATGAAGGCCAGGGACTGGAGAGGAGCTTTAAAACTAAACTCTGAACATTGTAATAATTAACTTGAAAAGAAAACAAACAAACTCTGTGCCGTTAATAATTCAACTTGAAAAAGAATACAGGAGGAGCCAATATCACCCCCATATCAATTGAATGAAGAGACAACGCTAGACATTCTGTGTTAGAACATTACTTTATTGCAAAGAAGAATGTTTCTACCTCAATATTGCACAAATTTCAAAGTCAAGACTTGGTCATTCTGTTCCATACTGCTTATGCTGGTTGGTTTACTGTAGAGCAGGGGTAGCAAACCTCCGGCCCTCCAGCTGTGGTGGAACTCCAAATCCCACGAGGCATTGCAAGATTCTCACAGCCACGGCTCCCGAAAAGAGATGCATCATGGGATTTGTAGTCTCACCACAGCTAGAAGGCCGGACGTCTGCTACCCCTGCTGTAGAGGCATTGATTAAAACGGGAGCATGGCAACCAATCAGCTTCTCTCTTCAGTTTGCTCAGGTAAGATTTGAAAAAATGAGAGAGAGAAGCTGATTGGCTGCAGTGCACATCAGCTCCAGAATTTTGTCTGCTCCAGTTTTGATAGTTTCCCTTTATTGTATTCATTCCGCGACCTGCATGCATTGTTGATGATATAGTCATGTTATTTGGTTTTCTGAAACAAAAGTACAGACAGTCTCCGACTTACGGACGCCCCACTTACGAACAACTCGTACTTACGAACCGGGTGTCCACGAGATTAGTGCCGCTCCCGAGTCCCACTCCTTGCCTCTGCCACCCGCAGGTCGCGCACACTAGAGGCCAATCGGCGCTCTGATAGGGCTCCAGCCGGCTTCGGCCATTTTGGAGAGGACAAACTGCAGATTGTAATAGGAGCCGATTTCCTGGACACTAGAGATCAATCCGTCCTGTTGAAGCTGAGGCTTCAACAGAGGGCGGCCATCTTGGCAAGGACAAAGATGCTCCCACAGGGCTTCACTGTAAACGATATGCCTGGAAAGTTTTACACACACATGTATTCAAAGAACAAATATTGATATGTATTAAAATATTAATAAATAAGTCCATGTTAATTAAAGGGAATCCAGAAAATTTGATTAGGGCTTTCACTAGATTGTTAAACGAAAAGTGCAAACAAATTGAAAAAAAAAAGTTTATAAAAAATAAAATTAAAAATAGAAAAACTTTTTATTGCCGTGTCATTTTAAATAAAAATAAAATTATATTATAATCTGAACAACAGGAACAGACAGCAAAACAAGTGACCCTTCCCTATGCTATCCAAAACGAAAAAAAGTTTTTTGGGCTGGACTTACACGTAAAAAATGTACCTGTTCTGACTTACATACAAATTCAACTTAAAGTGACATTAAACCCTCAGATTTTTTTAACACAAACCAATACTGTAATGTGCGCCTTACTGTAATCCATGGTAGTTTCCCTTCTCTTTGTTGCTCTTCCTTTTAAATCCTCATGTCTTCTCATGCTGGGGGAGAACTTTGCAGCTGAGTGCCTCTACCTGTAGTGCTGGCTCAGGTTGCAAACCTATACACAGACACCATGTATCCATTCCAGAGACAAAGCAGTCTGCTGCAAAACAGAAGTTCTGCCCAGCATGAGAAGAGATACGGATTTAAAAAGGAAGAGCAGCAAAGAGAAGGGAAACTACCATGGATTACAGTAAGGCGCACATTACAGTATTGTTTTATGTTAAAAAATCTGAGGGTTTAATGTCACTTTAAGTAGAAACCTAAAGGCCCGATCTTGTATGTAACCCGGGGGACCGCCTGTATACAAAAACACACACAAATGTTTTCTCCCCACTTCCTAAAAATGTCATCAATGTGACGGCTGTCCGCACTCCAACATTTCATGTCCCCGCCCTTATTTCTTGGGGGAAAAGCTGCTGCTTAAAAGACAAAAGTTCTTTCCCATAACCTCCTGCACACCAGAAATCAGGCTGAGAGTCGGAGTGCCGTACTGTCAGCCAATCAAATTCTGCCGAACTTAGAAAGCAGATGCCATGAGCCGTACAAGGGCCCGCATGGCTCCAAATCAATCTATATTTATTATTACAGGTATTACACCGTGCACATTCACATCAGTCCCTCGAGGAGCTTACAATCCAAGGTCCCCATCTCGTATACATACAGTGCAGCTTTAGACCGGAGCCAATTAACCTTCCAGCATGTCTTTGGAGTGTGGGAGGAAACCGGAGCGCCTGGTGGAAACCCACCGAGCACATGGAGAACATGCAAACTCCATGCAGATAGTGATCTGGTAATGAAAAAAATGGCGATGGTTCTCCTTATTAAGAAGTATCTCTGCCACCTGCAGCAGATACCCCCCACACGGTTCTCCACATGGGGGAGAGGGGCAATGAGGAGACTGCTCGGAGACAGGCAAGAAGAGCATCTTCCATCAAGGAGTAAGAATGCATGACTGGATTAAGGTGCGCTTACCTCTGCCTTGAGATCTTCATTCAGCTGAGGGAAGTAGGAGGGAAGAGGTAGCACCCCCCCCCCCCCCCCACCATCTTTTATA